TGCTGTTCACAGCCATCAGTCTCACAGTTGTGTGAAGGCAGTTCTCCAAGGCAGTGTCTTTATGATAACCATACTTTCTCTTTTAATTGCAGGGAGATGGCTGGGTTTACCATAAACCCCTCTGGAAAACAGTCTCTGCTGCACAAACTCAACAAACAGACAGTAACTAGAAAAAAGCTGCTTTAAGATGAGTTTTCTGGTTTTACTCTCCTTTTCCTCTGTCTCTCAGAACACAGTAATCACACTGAGTGTCCCCTTTTTATGTAATTGTGCAAGTTTAAATGAGCATAAAGAAATAACTATACTAGGGCACTTTAAAGCTATTTAAAAAAAAAAAAAGGTAAAAATCCAAGTTGTAGAGACAAACCTGCCAGGTACATTCAACCAACTTGTTTTTTTGTATGATCCAAGAGATTTTATCTGCATTGTGTAAGATTCTTCCAAGTAGATCTGATTGCAAAAGCTGCCTGAGAGAAGAAGGAGCCTGTTGGATTTTAGAGTGACATAGGAACTCTTCTGGAATCTGTGTCAAGCTCTTTAATCACTGAAACCTCCTCAGTACACATGTAGACAACAGCAACAGAAAATTGCTGCTTTTATGCCCAGTAGTTAACCTTCTTGGCAAAAACTGGAAGGGTGTTTGGAAGATGTGCCTGAAATCAGTATTAAGAAACAACTGGATCATGATGACCTTTTCTTCGGAGAGAACGCGTGCATGCATTGGAGGAATATGGGATGTACGTAGAGACTACTTTTCTTTTTTATGGATTTATAAAAGCAATTAGAAATGTAACCATGGAGAAATTTTTCCTCTGAAACGTTTTAATATACTTGAAATAGTTGACTTGAATTGGAAAAGTAATTTGAACACTTTTCAACTCTAATTTTATTAAATCTCTTTGAGTGACTGTTTTTTCTCAAGTTATAATATGATGAGATCTGGCCTGTTTTTTCTCCTCCAACTTCTCTTCCTGAGGGCTAAGGCTTTCAAAACGAACAGAAAACGTACAGTTTTGTATTTAAATTTCTCTTCCCATCTAATAGTTTCAGAGATGAAGTATCAGTGTTACAAACTGTCCTTTGGGTTGTTTTGTTTTTTTCTCCTGTGGTGTTATTCAGAACAAAGCAGTGAAATGTGACCTTGAATACATGGACTGTAGGTCCTGGTTTTTCATCTTACCATAAAAAAACCCAAACAAACATCTGATTATGCTGAGGACTGAGTATTGATTTGAAACGCAATCAGATATCAGGAAACTGTATTCAGGTACAAACATACTTTTTTTTCCCTCCTTTTTATAACTATTTTATTGAAATCTAAGAATTGCTGGCAATTAAGAATAGTACTTACTATGGCTTTCGTTATTGTTGTAATTACAAGCTACCTTAATTTTTCCAACAGTGGTGCCTTAATCTGTTTTTCTTCTGATGTAGTCTTCCAATCAGTGTATATAACATTATCTGCCACTTCCCAGCCATGGCAATGGCTGCACCTGATCCAACATCATAAAAACTCACAACTGTGTGGTCTGGTAAGATGTTTTCCATAGAGAAGATGCAATTGTAAGAATGCATCAGAAGGTTTAAATAACCATGTTAACTTTCAAGACAAACTGAAAATCATGCAAAAAAAGTAAGAGTTGGGTTTATGCACAACTGTTTTGATCCTCTTGTACTTTTTTTTTTGCTGTGAAATGCACTGAGATCTCAATGCAAGTCATAGTCCGTTTGTGAGAAGTGGGGGGGGATAATAAAGCTACAAAATGATTCATTTGTTCTGTCTGCTTTCCTAGAGATCAGGTGACCAGGAAGGAGTAGGTGGTTGTTTTCTTTCATGCTGGAGATCTGTCTGGGCTTTCCTTGGTCCCAAAAGTGGGATATTTTGGCACTATGTGCTTGAGTGGTAACTATTCTCCAGCAGAAGAACGTTTCAGGCCCTATTTGTCTTGTTTGTGATATTCTATACAACCATCCTGTTGTGATAGTTTTGGATATCCATTGGGCATTTTCATGCTTAACCAGGAATAAAAATAAAAATTAAAATAGTGGGATTAGTTCCTCCTTGTTTCTGGATCTGCGGCACATTTGTGGCACATCCTTGGCCAATTCCAGGATTTGGGGTGGGAATTGTGGTGGCAATGTGTGAAATTCTTCCATGGTTCATCAGTACCTGCACCAAAATGGGGCTGGTAGAGAAACAGATTAGCACTCTATACGTTTTGTAGTTGTTTTATCCATGTCACGTGGCACATTTGCTTTAAATGAACAGCAAGGGCTGTGGTGTGAGGCCCAGCTTTTAATATTGCAGTGATCAGAGCAAAACCAAACCTTTTCCAGCTGAGTACACTCCAGGGATCAAACTTAAGCTAAGTAAAATACAGACTTACAACTCAGTCTCTAAAGTCAGCTTAAAATTTTGATTTGGGATTTGTCAAGGTGATGGCTGTAAATGAGACTGAAAAGCTCCCATATTGACCATAAACCCATTTGTGTTCCTTATATAATACTATTAGTCAAGTAATTTTTCTTCCTTCCTCATCTGGTATGCTTTTCTTCCTTCCTCATCACTAATTTTGTGTTTTGTAAAAATAGACCAAATACTGAAGAAATACTTTGATAAAATCCTTGGAGTGATTTCTTTTAACATGGGGATGTTTCTAGGAAAAAAAGAAGGTAAAGCTTTCCTTTACTCAAGTGATCATGAGAACTGGAATGGTTCCCGATACGGATTTAGTTATGATGCAAATTTCTGCTTCTAGAAACAAAGGATATAGTTGAAAACCATTTAAAAAGAAAAAATCTAGCCACTGAATGTCCAGCTTAAATTGTAATTGTGATTCTTCTGAGAATGGCAAACACCCTGTGGAGTAATGGATGTATTTTTAACTCTGACCAGATTTGATTCTCTTGCATAACTGATGTTGTTTCCATCCTGTACCTTCTGGAGCAAAGGGAAGGGCTCAGTGCTGCTTCCTGTGTAGATACTTCCTAGAACCACAATGTGTTCCAACAGGGAACATGGCAAAGTAGGACATTGGCTTGTGTTACCGTCTGTCTTCTTGGCTTGATCGGGCCCCACTGAAGTTAAGAGCAAAATTTTTATTGATCTCAGTGGTTTTGGGCTCCCTGACTCATAAACAGATCTTGGATCTTAAATAAGTGGCTGTCTTTAGAGGTGCTGTGCAGCCTGCTGCTGCTCATAGAAAACAGTGCAACAAGTCAGCCCTGTTTTACACAGGCATTCAGGTGTGTAATCCTGATGGATTTGTGTTTTATGGAAAAAATGCACTGTGCAAATTGGGTTGTTCAACATTTTGGAATCTTTGGAATGGGTAGGGGAAAAGATAAACGTTTTTCAGCATATTTATAGTATGAAGTGTCAAGCCTAGGATGAAATCTGTCTTCCCAGGAGAATTTGGATTTCAGCCATCAGATTCAGAGATGCAGCCTTCAATGTCTAGTTTGCACAGGCTGATCCCCCTCTGTCCCTGTCACCTGTAGGAAAAACAGGTCAGAGTGTCTTTTAAATCCTTTTGAGTGTGGAAGAACAGGTGAACACTTTCATCAGTGTGTTCAAACAACTTGGTATGAAAATTCTGCACAAAATACTATGGGAATGCAAGATTGGACAGTCTAGGGGAGAGTTTGGTGTTACTGTAGTTTTTTATCTCCATGACAGAAAAGCTGTCCCCTGCTCTGTTTCTCTTGTGTTAGAGCAGTGGTTAATATATTAAAGAAATGAGGCTGAAGTCAGGTAGGTTGGAAAAGATGTATTTGTGGGGAACTGGGAAGGGTGTGCTTCAAGGGAAAAGGAGTAACTTGAAAAATTGTAAGGTGTCAGGAGGTAGCAACCGCGTGAAGATTAGTGGGAATGACAGGTGTGGTCATAGTTGCAGATGACATAAGTGGTAGCTAAGCAAATTTTTTGTTATTCAGATTTGATGCAACCTAATTCATTCTCCTTCTGTCCTTCTTTGAAGTGTTTAGAGACAATTTGTTTCTAGGCTTTTAATTTAGCAGCTGTAAAAACAGTCCAATGAGATGGAAACAACAGAGAGAGAAGAAAAGGTTTTTATATGGGTTAGTGCTGTCATAGCTGAGCACTTAAGAGAGCCAAACCAGCCCTGCAGATCTGTGTCCCTGCTCCACACTGAGGAGCCTCAGCTGCAGAAAACCTGTGGCTGTGCATGCTCCCTCTTTCTGGGCTGGTCCATGCAGCTGTGTGATGGCAAGAAATGTATTCCTCTCGGATGCATCCCGAAAAATACACCTCTGTGTAGGTGTCAGGTATGGGCTTGCAGCACTTAGGGGCACCTGAGGTCTTTGCTCCCAAGGGTGGAGGGATTTGCACAGTACCAGGGTTCAGAGCAAGGTGTGACTTACCTTTCCTTAATTTCTGGCCAGAATGGAGGCAGCCTGGGTTGATCTGGTGATCATGGGGATAAAGGTCTCAGTTCAGTCTGATGGTGTTTCCCCAGGTGGGGTAACCCAGCAGGGAGGTGTGAGAGTTTCCAGAGGAATTGGCCAACACCCTTGTGTTGACTGACGCTGTTACTGTGGCACAGATCTGGCTAGAGGTGGCTGGAAACTGGTCTGATGGGGGAAAGGCTTGTCTAGGTATCCTGCATGGAGAGTTCTGAGGGTCAGGCAGCCGTGTCTACACTCTCAAAGAAGCTTCACACACCCACCTGAACTATCAACCCAGGAATTCCCAGTGAGCAAAGGTATGTTGGAGTTGTATCAGATCAAGGCTTTTACAAACTGGATTATTGTGGCTCTTTGGACGATGTTGCATGAGTGATTTTCTTGGATGTCAGCATTTCTTCCACAGAGGGTATGGTACATCTCATGATGTCTTCTTTTCCTGCTACAACAGATTTTGTGTGTGTATGTGTAGGCCATTAAAAAGAAGAAAATTGTTTTAATCACTGCAGAATAAGCTAGAAAAGAAACTCATGATCACACTATGGAAGGACTTAAAAAAGATAGACAATTCAGCTGCTTATTAATAAAAGATTAAACATTATTATTTTAAAAAATAATAAAAGGAATGCTTTGCATCATTATACATTTTAAGTAAGTACAAAGTTCATATAATAATGTTTCACTTTAACCAAAATATTGATTCCTCAGTTCATTGTATCTGTGGGAGGAAACAGATCTTATAAATAATTTATGTACTAGATCTTAGTTCCATTTTGAAAAACAGTGGGGTTTTTTTCCCCCATGAGCTAAATGCTTCTCCCTTATCCTCTTGTTCCTCGTGATGAGGACTTTTGCCTGCTGCATCACTGAACGTTTCTGCTCCCATCACTGTCCTGGAGCTCCCCACCTGGAGAAGCTGTTTTGCTGGCCTCATTGTCCGTGTTGTTGTTGAGGATGTCATCACAATCCATCTGTGCCATCAGGTTGAAGCGCTCAGCCACGCAGTGGGCGGTGAGCCGAGCCTCGGGGTCGTGGTCCCAGCACTCCGTGATGGTGTCGCACAGGAAGCGCATTCCCTGCAGTCAGAAGGGCTGAAATTAGGATCAGAAGGCAGAAAGGAGAGCATCTAACACAGTTTTAGTGGTTTACCAGACTTCTGACAGCCTCCTGCGTAAAGGCTGGTTTTGGCCAAGCTTAAGCACAAGAGGAATCAGCCTCGGTAAGTTGTGGAAGTGCTGATGCTTCCACTGGCACTGCTTGTGTTAGAGCAGCAGCCTCAGCTCTCACAGCATCTGCTCCCAAACATTCCCCATGTTCTCTGGAAACCAGCTTGTGTTGGCTGTGAGACTTAGAGCCTGTTTCCTTCCAGCCTGTATTTATTTCCTGTCTCGGCCTTGCCCATTTGGATCAGAGCACCCTAAAATCCTAAAAGACAGGAGAGGTGTGGACAGTGACTGTAGGCTGCTGGCTGAGCCCAGCCTCTGGGTTTGAGCTGCACCCTGCCTGTTACACCTGGAGGGAGGGGTTGGGGAGGGGAGGAGGTGCTTTTCAAAGGTAGGTTTGAAAATAATTTCTTACATCTGCCTTCTTGTTTTAGCGGCATTCTGAAAGGGTGTGCTGTGCCAAACACTCGTTTCAGTGTGCAGCTGAACATTGTTCTCCTATCACAAAGTGTGTTTTGGTTGAGATGGGCTGAGGTGCTTCCCAGTTTACTCCAGAGCACATGGAGTTCCTCTCAGCTACAATGCTTACATCTCCCAGAAAGCTGGGAGTTTTTTTGTCCAGTTGTGTAGGGCTCTGAAAAGAGTCACAATATTTGGGGCCTGGGAACAAAATAAATGGTAGTATTCAGCTGGTGCATCCCCCACCCTTTAGCTAGTAACACAGCTAGCGCCAGAAGCTGTGCTGAACCTTCCCTCGCCCATGTAATTCCATCATGTGCTATTGCTCTTGGCATCATTGTCAACTAAAGTTGGAACACAGTGGAAAAATCATTATTCTAAATAAAGCTTCGTGGTTTTCAGTGGGTTTTATGTATTTCTTAATTTGCAATTAAGAGAAACCTGAAATTTCATGTGGACCCACACAAGAGGAATATCCAAGTCCTACAGAGATAGAGTCAGTTCCATCTGCCCTGCTGCACCTTACTCAGAACTCACTGCTCTCTGCTAAGGTTCATTGTGTTAAGTCTTCCATAATAGACACAGATTGGAGAGAACAGGATTGTACAGCAAAAGTGACAGATGGTGTGTTTCAGCACCTCTGACGTCACTTATTTATTAGCTTAGTTGAAAGGATTTGAGGGTAATTGATTACATGCAAAAATGAGCTAGCTTAGGTGAAGCTTTTAAAGTCATCCTGTTCTTAAACAGGACATCCAAGATTTTCTGTACTTAGTTTTCCCTGAAATCATAACATTTATTTGTAGTTTGGCTTGTAGTGCTGACATTCTTTTGAAGAGATAACTGAAACATCTTGTTTGGCTTACAAAATGAACTTAGTTTGGCTTTTATATTTGATATCTGTTTTTCTAAGATTCCAAAGGATGCTGAGTTGTACAAGTGTATTTTTAGTGGCAGTATTGACTTTAGCTGCCACTGCTCCTTCCTGTCCTGCACCAGCCTCTGGTTGTTCTAGTACCTCAGTCTGTTCAGCTGCTTTGTGAACCAGATTCACCTGGCCTAAAAAACTGGGTTTTTTCCCTTTTTATTTCAATATGCTGGGGTGTAAAACAAGGTAGAAGCATGGACCTAAGGGGTCTGTAAGTTATCTGGGAAAGTGGGGATTAATTTCTTTAGCTGACTTTGTTGTGGGGCCTTTCATGTAGTTGCCCTCAAGCTGCTGTTAGGTAAATCAGCCCTGTCAGGGAAATTAGTGCTGACACTTGCTGAAAATCAAACCATGGTCTTCACTTGACTGAGAGCAGTCCTGACGGTTGAAACGTGGAAGTTTTTATGACTTATTGTCATAAAAATGACAATATGACTTATGACAGATGTTCTGGTGGGAACATCTATTGGTGCCTCCCATTCAGCTGAGTGACTTGTCACCCTTTCTCGATGTCACCCAACACTTCCTCCCACGGGAAGCCCGCCTGGACCCCCGGAGTGGCACAAGCCGGTGGCTTTCTGCTGCTTCCCAGCAGATGGTGCTGCCCAATTCCTCATCCTAGAGAGAACTGTTGCAAAATGCCCAGAAATTGCTGTAAAGCCGGGCTTGTAAGGAGATTAATCAGAGAAAAAACTTTCAGCAACATAATATGGCTTTTCTGTTCTTCCCCAGTGGCCATCAGATGGTCCAATAAAAAGTTCCCACCTTATAAGCCTTGTTATGTTTGCCTGCTACGCCAGCCCAACTACAGCAACATTATTTCTGGGAGGTGACTGCAGTCAGCCTCCCTTCAGCCCTGGGAACAGCACAGTTATGCTCACACTCTATCAAAGTGTGATTTTTGACAACCCAAGCTTCTGTATATTTTTTCTGTGGTTTCAAAGTTTATCAGAGACCCTGTGAGGAGAATGTCTGAGCTGAATACTCAAAGGCTTCAAACATGTGGCACTACTGATTGAAGTTCCTATATTTGCCTTTGTTACTAAAAAAAACTGGGTGAGCTCCAGAAATGCACTCAGCAACTGATGAACTCCCCAGGGGTCCCACAGAAGCCACGGATTCATTTGATCCTGTTTGCAGTTTTGGTCAGTCGGGTCAGCTGTGAGTCTTTGGACAAACATGGTTTTGAGAGGAGACACTGTAGGGAATATGTGGCCTCCTAAGGTTGAGAAATTCTCTCTTTCCTTTTGCAAAGCCTGCCTCTGTGTGCCAGCAGGGCAGAGTGGGAGCAGAGGCAGTGTGTTTTATGGGTGGATATTGCTAAACAATTCACTGAGCACTGCAAAGCTCTGAAAGCCAGCAGGCTCGATGTTCCAGCTTGATTCTCAGGTGAACGGGAGTGTTGATCAGCAGATGGTGTTTTTCCACAAGACATGTGAGATTCAAGAAATACCAAAGTCAGGCAAGATGTGGAAGTCACCATCAGCATGCCTGTTACCCCTCTTGTCCTTAGAGTGTGGCAGAAAGCACTGGCCTGGGGCAGAAACCCTGTCAGGGCCAGGAGGGAGCTCTGTTTCTGTAGCTGGCTGATCTGGGTGTGCTTGTAGGTAGTTTTAACAGAATACATTTTGTCACTGCTGAAATGTTCCCATTCTAGAACACTGGGTTATGCCCTCTATGCTGACACATTTGCTTTCAGACCTTCTGAATGCTGGTGAAAGACTTCCCTTGACAAGCCCTGAGCCTTGCGGAGCCCCTGCTCTCAGCTTCACTCACTTTTCCTGAGTGTTTCACGTGAAGGAGATGCTTTCTGGTTTGCTCTTCCTTGTGGTAATGGAAATTTCTCTCATGTTGAAGGTAATGTTGAGCTTGAAAAATCCAGGCAGAAGGCTGGATGTGCCTCCCTTCCCCTCTGTCCCTGCTGTGAATGGCTGTGTGTGAGGGACTGCGTGTTTCCTGAACCTTCCAGACAAGGTGCTGGGGGAGAAGTGGGGCAAAATCCAATGATTCATGGGAAGAACTGCACTGAAGTGCTCCATTTTGCTGTTATCCTCAGGGTAACTGAAACCCATCACCTGCTATGCACAACTTCCTGATCATGGCTGTTGATCAGCACATTCTGCTGTGTCTGTGGCTGGTGGCTTTTCTGCAACAAGGAAATGAGTGGGACTTGTGTGAGCCCAGCCATCCACAATGGAGCTGAAAGCAGATCCCAGGAGTTCTGCCCACTTTCCCTCTGACTATAAATTTAATTTTTCAGGCTGGTTTAGTGAGGAAGGACAATGTGTGTTGCTCTGTTCTGAGCCAGCTGCTCCCAGCTTACCTGGTGCACCAGCCAGCTGCTTGGGATCTCGGGCCGGCCTCTGCCGTGCAGCACGATGTCCCTCATGGTGTCCACACAAGGCTGCTCCTGGACTTTCGACCCAAAGGGCAGCTCATAATTCTTTACCTCTGCGAGGAAGCAACAGCAGCATTACAGGATGTTTCTCATGCATTCCCTGCTTTGTTTTGGTATGGCCCACTGGATGAGAATGGATTTGTTTTTAACAGTCTGCAAAAAAATAAGCAGATCTGGAAACAATTGAGAATTTGAACACAGAAATGTATTGCTGGGTTTTCACATAGAGGTTCTTTTCAGAGACAGCACCGAGGAACCGTCTGACCTCCTCCCTGAACCCAAAAGATGCAGTACGAAGGACCTGGTTTGTCTTTGGGTGAGACAATTTGAGCAGGCAGAAAGTACTGTGCTGGTGAAGGATGGGAGAGGTGACTATGGCATGAGAATTTCCGGATTTCTTCTACAGGCAGGGAAGGGGTTAGAGGAGAAATGGCCCTTCCAGAAAACCAACCCCATGTTGTGGAAAACCAAGGAGAAACTGGCTGTTGGCAGAGGTGAGAGGCCACCCTGGTTTCTGCCAGCTCCCGCCTGGATGTGAATAGAGGTGAGATATGAGCAGGGAGAGATGGCCTGGGAATGCTTTCTTGGGAACAAAGGATGCATGGGGCATCCAAACCAGGCAAGGGCCTCCCACTGCTGACCATGGGGCTTGCAGGGCAGTTGGAGCAGCTTTGTGGCCAAGGATTCCTGCATTTCTGCGGGCTCATATTGTGAGTAGGTGGGATAGAGAAGGAAGGTGAATCGGAGCAGGCAGGGGCTAACTCCAGGGCAATTAATGAAATGTTTTGCTACACACAATTGTAGATGCCAGGAAGGCTCTGGGAAGTGACAGAGTGTGTTATACTGTCAGAGGCTGGGGTTTGTGAGTCCCCACTACAACATAAGCTTTCTGGTGTTGTCTGAAGGAAAAAAATGGTTGAGGAGGGGAAGGCACCTTTGGCTCTTCTTGCTTGATTTGCTTTGCACCACCAGCACAAGCTCCATGGGACTTGGCAGCTCATCAGCTTTGAGCAGGGACTGGATTAGATGTCCCCATGGATCCTGTCCTGCTCCTTGACCACTGAGCCACCCCCCTTAAGCCACTGCACACAAAGCAGGGGAATCTGTCGCCAACTCTTGGCAGCCCTGCAGAGACCTGGACCACCCCAAGTCATGCCTTGTGCCATCAGTGGGGATGTGGGAGTAAGGGAGCAAAAAGGCAAGCAGCAACCTGGGTGAGATGCTCCTACCTCCTACCACTTCACATCTGGAGGCCATTTCCCACAAAACAAGGGCCATGGAGTAGACATCCATCTGCTTGAAAGACTCCAGGTCTTCCAGGTTCACTCTGGACTCCAGGACCTCTGGGGCCATGTACCTGGCGGTGCCCACCTGGCCGCAGAGAGGAGAGAGGCATTAGCAGGGGTGGGCGAGGACTTTGGCCACAGGACATGGGGGTGGCTGGCAAAGGCTCCTCCAGGGAGGGCTGGTGGGTCATACTTGCCTGCCCGCTGTTGGCAAAGTCGTCCACCGTGAGGGAGGGGTCGAGGCGTATGGCGATGCCGAAGTCGCAGAGCACGCACTCCTGCTCGTTCTTCACCAGCACGTTTGTGCTCTTGATGTCGCGGTGGGCGATGGGGATTTTCGGGCGGCCGCAGGCGGTGTAGTCGCTGTGAAGGTGGGCCACCCCACTCACCAGGGACCCAGCCATCTTCTGCAGGTCCATCCAGCTCAGCACGTGGTGGGAGAGGTAGTCCTTGAGGTTGCCCCGGCTGTGGTAGGCGGTGATGAGCCAGTACTCCCGGCGGGGCCCCGTGCCCCGGTCCTCGGCAGTGAGGAACTGCAGGACGCTGTCGTGCCTGAGGCTGGTGTCGGTGAAGATCTGGCTCTCGTTCTTCCAGGAGGAGTATTCCTCGCAGGGGAAGATCTTCACGGCCACAGTCTCGTACTGCCCGGAGCGGCTGTGGCTCAGCTTGGCCCTCCACACCTCCGCGAACTGCCCTTTGCCCACCATCTCGTCCAGCTCGATGGGCAGCAGCTCGGCGGGGCGGCTGCTGCTGGCCGGGCTCTCGTCCATCAGCACCGACAACTTCTCCTCCCGCTCGCTTGCCTTCCCCTGCTCCGGCAGCACCGGCGGCTGTCCCTGTTTCCCACCCCACGCCTTGGCTCTCTTGCGTCGCTTCTGCGTGCGGCAGAGGTAAAATATCACCGTGATCATCACCGCCACCAGCAGCGGGGGCAGGAGGCTGATGGCAGCCACTGGGATCACCTCTTTGCTCTGCAGCATGGAGTAGCCTGAGGGGAGGAAAGCAAAGGCGAGGTGCTGCTGCTGCGGGTCTGCCACAGCTCGTTTTCATCACGCGGAGGAGGAAAATATGCAAAGCTGTTAATGGAGCGCAGCCCTTCCCGGGGCCGCACAAGGGCTCATCCCCACACAGAACCCAGATGTAGGCACTTAGCAAGGGGGATGACTGGGTTTGGTCTCAAATTTAGCTCCATTTATCAACAGAAGACACAGGCCAGCTTCACTTGGATGGGACAGTGTGGCACAAGAGACTGCAAAGGGCATTTTGGGGGGTCCCAAGTGCTGCTTGCGCTCGTGGCAAGGGGAGCTTGGCTGGAAATAACTATGATAAATCTGAGACAAGGCTCAAAGAAAGCAAATCTCTGAGAGGGCTTGGGGCTGGAGCTTTGCTGGACGCCTCTGGTGCACACAGAGTCAGGAGTGATGCTGGGGGTAGGCAGTGTGCAGGACCACCCAGCTCAGGGGAGTGCTGGGATGCTTTGCAGGATAATTAGCACACAGGAGCATCATTTCAGCAATTTTGTCTGCCAGTGCTGGCATCTCCTTCCTCATTACAGGAGCAACCCCAACAATCACCAGGGCATGGCTGCATTTGTTTTATTTCTTTTAAAAACCCCCTGTTGGCCTTCAGATTGAGAGGGGGAGGACACGCACACAAAGCCATAACCCTCACACAACATATAATTGTCTGATCCTTTGATGTTTGTGATTCCTGGAATAAACATGCTGACTTCAGTAGAGATATTCAAGTAAAATCTTACTCAGAAGTTTTTCTGCCAAGTATAATAACCCAGGGGAAGAGGGATAAGAATCATTCCATAAGCAAAACTCTCGCTGCTTGACCTCAGTGTGTGCAGATCATAATTCAGGTTCTGGAAAAACAGAGCATTTAGCTATTTTCCTTGGCAAATTTCAAAAAAATGTGCTGCAGCTAATTTCTGCAAGGCTGTGAAAGCGTTTCTAAAATAGGCATCAGGTTTAAACCACAAGATCAACCCAAACTGATATAAATCAATAACTAACTCAGGAATATGTTTATTTTGGAAAGTATTGGGCTTGGATATTACCTACTGCTTTAATGGATTTACCCGACGCTTTGGATCCCATCTTTGAAACTCTGAAGAAAGAGAAGATCTTTTTAAGGGAGATGTGTGCATAAGTCCTGAAAAGGGGAAGTGAACACAACTTCAGGAAATTCCTGCACGAGGATGCCCCTTCCTGATGGAAGTCTTTTGATACACAGGGGCTGCAGCAGGGCTTAGACCCCTTCTATGGAGAGCAAATGTAGTTGATCTGGCAGTAACCACAGGTCTGTAAGCCCACACCTTGTCGAGCATTGCTGTGTGGGTCTGTCCATCCCTGCTGAGGGGATATGGACCTCCAGGGCTGGGCTCAGCTGGAGCACAGGTGGAAAGCACTTGCCATGCTCCACCCGACCCAGCATCTTCCCGAGGTCTCACCTGGACTTCTGTGTGCACAGCTTTAGGAAATGATGGTTCTGTGTGCTCATTAGCATGGTGTCTGAGCTCTGATGGAGTCCCCTGCATCCCTTGTGCAAGGGCAATGCCACCCAGACCTGAAAGCAAAGCTTAAGGAATCAAGAAACAGGAAAAAAATCTGTCTGCTTCAGCAGACGAGAAGTGCTCATCTGCTCAGGAGTTGTCTAGACCATTGAACGTGACAATAATTTAATATTTAGAATGCAAATGATCCCTTAAAGCAGAAGGAAAGGATGTAAAGAATCTGTGAGCTTGGGGTTTGCCTAGGCTGGCCCCTGGCCCGTGTCTAAGAGGAGAGGGTTGTTAAAGAGCTGCACTGGTCTTGCTCTGACTTCCAGCGCTTTCCGCGCCGGCTGACAGGAGGAGGCTGGTTATGGAGCCTTTGCTGGGGGTGGCATTTCCAATGAGCCGGTTGTCATTTTTGTGTGAAATTGCATATCCCAGCACCAGCTTTGGGATTTGACTATCTCTCCCTAGAAGTGTGTGTACCTGTTATGTTTGGCTGGGGAAGCGGCAAAGAACCGCCAAATTTAGCATCATTTGCCTCCATTAAAGTGACTTGTTTGTTCAGAGAATTTGCATTTCATGTGATGTTTTTCTTTTTTCCTTATATTGCAGGAGAGCTATACCACTGGCTTGCAGGTTCTGCTTAGGCTCATTTTCAGTATCTCCTTGTGTGATTATGGAAAATTTGAGGCATTTCATTTTGCTTTTGTTACAGGTCGGATTGTTGATGGACACTTGGATAAACCTGGTCCACTTGGAGCTGGGGAGGTTTAGACAAGCCCCCAAAGGCTCTGGTTGGAAATATTTCCAAAGCATACGACCCTCCTGAGGTACAGAAATGAGCTGCCTCTTAGTTTTCCCTCCTGTAGATTTACAGCTCCCGTTGGATCTCCAGCCACGTGCAGCAGCGTGCCAAGCCACGCTCACGTGTGTGCTCAGCACCTGGCTGGCTCCAGCTCCCCCTTCCCGGGAGAAACACTGCTGCAGGAATTCCCAGGAGAGCAGCAGGGGAGGCATTCCTGTGTGCCCACCCCAGCATCTCCACCTCTTGGTTACAGCCATGAGGGATGCCAGCCATTCCTGTGGGTGTGTTCTGGGGCAGGATTTGCTCCAATGCAATTTATTTAAAGCTTTCAGAGCTTTTGACTCTCATTACGTTACACCAGCCCCTGGGCTCCCCAGATGATTCAACCTCTGCTGAAGGCACAGCCCACTGAGAGATATGGTGGGTTTTCCATCACCTGATGTTTCCAGACAAAGGCTGCAGGTGTTTCTGCTAGGAATGCTTTGGCCACTGACAAAACGCTGGGCTCAGTAACGGGGTAGAGATTTTAGCTGGCTTTTGTATAGGGAGGTGAAAGAAGATGGCAAAAGAGCCTCTTCTGCCATTGCACCTCCTCCTCCACAGGAAACACAGGGGATTTGTCATTGGTGCTGGGTGCTGCTCCCCCATAAACAGCATTAACAAAAGCACTCACCATTGGTGTGGTTTTCAAAGATGAGTTTGTCGTTGCACTCCTGCTCATCCACACAGCCACAGACGTAGATGACGCCGTCCTCGCTGGGCTGGTGGCTCATGATGCAGCGCGAGGTGTTGTAGTTGGGCACCATGAGGTTTTCGATGGGGCGCTGGGGGTTGTGGCAGAGCGTGCTGATCCTGATGCTCTCGTTGTCCTGCCTCCTGCAAGTGACAAATGAACCCACACAGAGTTAGCTCGGCAGCTTGGCCCTTGTGTCACCTTAAACCCGGTCCTAAGATCGTTTCTTTCAAGCTGTGTAGGGAATGACTATTTGCAGTGGCTGCGGTATAATTCTACTTACACGTACTTATAGGACCAGTGATGGGCATGACTGGCCCTGCACAGGTACAGCATTGCAGCTACTTCTGGGTGCATTAAAAGAAATTGCAACCATTCATTACTTTTCCAGGAGCAGCCTCTGTCTCCTGACCTGGTTGTGCAAAGCTGGGGATGAAGGTATGGAGAGATTTCACCATAGCTTTGAGGTCAGCTGGGAAGTCAGACATAAAAGCCAAGGCAAGGACCTCAATTCATCACCCTCTCCCTGGTGAAGTGCCCCGGTTTCAGCACTCCCCACATTTTTTTTGTGGCTACCAGGTAATTTGACAGAGGAGCTCCCAGATGAAGAGTCCTAGGAGGGTGAGATCCCTTCTGCTAAGGCTGAACCCTGGAGCACACGAGCATGAGGCCAAAGCTGCTGCTGTGACTGAGATACCCACTCAGGACAAGTTTGGATGATCCACAAATGCCTCTGCAAGTGAGCAGCAGGCAGCAAGGCTGGCCTGGAGGTGATCTTATTCTCTGGCTGAATCTTAGAATGGGATGGGAGGTGCTGGGAGGGGTTGGCAGGGTATTTGTGACTGTGTAGCTGCCTCACCCCACCTAATCCACATTGCAGGATGCAGCTCCATCCTGTGCAGTGGGATTGCTTCCCTGGCATGGGGATTCCTGCTGCAGGGGCCTTGCTTTTTCCTGTACGTGTAAGCTGTAAATGGGAAAAACCCAGCGACACACTGGATTGCCTAGCCAGGATTTAAGGTGGCTTCTCCATGTGTGCGTAGGGGAATTTGGGGCAGGGGGTGGATTTTGTTATTTGTTTGTTTGGGTTTCTTGTTGTGTTTTGCTTTTTAAAAGTCCATAATGCAACAATTAGGTTGTGGCAAACTCCTACTGAAAGCTGGCATACAGCATTCACGCTAATTAGCAGGTTGAGATAAAGCCTAGCGATAAGTGCTTGGCTGGCTTTCACTTTGGCAGCCAAATTAAAAGGGAAAGTGGAGGAAAATCACTCTGGGCAGACCCAAAATGGATGCTTTTTTAGTTTTGCTCACAGGGCCCAAAAAGCTGGGGGAGGCACTCTTCCGGGCCAAACCATGCAGTGTGTGCTTGGCCTGAAATGCAAGATTGTGTTTCCTGTCCAGGCACCTCTCACAGGAGCAGAAAAAGACTTTTTCCAGGGGATAGGAAAGAGGTGGGTTAAACCCAGTGGGTTAACCCCAGTGTGGTGCCAGCTCAGTTGTCCATGTGCTGGATGGGGATTGACCTTGGCTGCACCCCTGCATGTGAACTGAGGTTTCACCCCCCTGATGCAAGAGGACATCATAGGTTTGGAGGTCAGGGTTGCTGCTTTGCCCTTGGGTTCAGCTTGTAAAGCTAAATTCAGAGGTTTATGGGAGTTTATAGGTCCAGCACCAAACTTGCCCCGCTTTGTGTCAGACACTCAAAAGCTGAACTTACTTAGAAAATAAACTGGTACTAATTACAGGGCAGACCAAATTTTTTTTTTTTTTTTTTTTTTTTTTTTTACTGTGCATTATAATGTTAATTACAATGGAGCCAAGGCAAGAGGAAGAGAAAGTCCTGAATTACTGCAATAGGCAATAACACAAGCACGGGGGTACACACACAGGGGGTACACACATCCCTGTCCCCCCTTGGAGAGGGGATTTCCTCTCACCATATTGCCACGCAGATCTCGTAGGGGTCCTCGCAGTAGGAGTTGAGGTTGCAGTTGCTGTAGCACACCTTGTCCTCGCACGCCGGGGCTGTGGAGTCGCACCACTTGCACAGGTTGGTCTGGAGGCTGCGGCGGGCGCCGGCCCCGCAGGCTGCGGGCACAGGGGGCTGCGGGTGAGCGGGGAACACAACCACCATTCCCAGAGATTCACACAGCCGGGAGCCCCCACTGACCCCACTGCTCCGTGCGTTTTTAAAAAAGCCTTTGTCTGGCTCTCCACCGCCCAGTCAATTGTGCTTTGTGTTATCCCAAAGCCTCGAGGAGTAGGGAGAATGCTGCGGGACGAAAGCCTGGGAAACCGCGGAGAATCACGTTTTTCCCTCTGCTTTTCCCATACCATTTATCATCAAGGGGAAATTTGCTTCTTCCTCTACAGCCCAGGCTCAAATTGGCATCTCCCCTCACCCCGAGTGCGTTCGGTGTTGGAAAAGGGACATCTCCGGGTTCCTGTGTGCCTGAAGAGCGCATTTATTCCCCTCTCAGCAGGAGGAGAGGTGCAGGGGAGGGATGTACGGCCAGGCTGGGACAGCTCCCGCCTCTCCTGCTGCCTCCTTGTCCTCCCCCTTCCTATTCAATGAGGCCAAGCTGGGAAAGGTGTTTGCTGCCCACTCCTCAAGTGTCCGTGCTGAGCCTTCCCAAGCTCTGGGCAACAGGGGCTGCTCCCTCCAGGGCTCCACTGCCCACTGTGCCCATTCCAGCATGAGATATTCTCCCAGCCCTTGAGCCTCAGACCTGCCCCAGCAGCAGGAATAACTGTGGGGAGCTGCTCTGCCTGTATCTCACAGGCATAACATTATCTCTATTTTTATAGAAAGGGTGCATGAACTATGCTTGGTTAAGGGATAAATCCCAGCTAAATTTAAACTTCCTGTCTTAAGGCTGCTAAATGTCTTTAAAAATGCCACTGAGTGGCTTATGTAGAAATATTTATTTATACTTCTTTAAAACTTAAATATTCTCCAAAGTGTTCGGGTATGAACCTGAACTACAACAGCTAATTTTTTTAAGCTTTGGATCATCCATAATTCCCTGGCTGCCATGTCCCTGAGCCACCCAGCAGTGTTGGGTACTCCCAGCCCCAGTCATAGCTCACTGTGCTGCCACAGCCCTCGCAGAGTTTTCCATCACCAGCTGTAAGTCTGAAAAAAAAAATTTTTGCAAAATTCCTGACTGTGGCTTGGGGAGCCTCAGCCCCTGCAAGCAGGGACCTGCTGACCCAGCACAGCCATGGGCACCCCCAGGTCTGTCAGTGACATGCAGGAACTCCTGTGTTTTTGGTGGTCACCTCTGTGACCTGTCTGTGTTCACAGCTGAGCCCACGGACCCTGTCCCAACAGCAAAAAGGGTTTTTTAACTTCCCTGCTCCCCAAATCCAGGGCATGCAGCCTGCTCTGACAGCATTCCACGTGCCTGCTCTGCTTCCCTCACCAGCCCAGACCCCTCTCCCTGCAACAGTCGTAAAGAACTGCTGGAAGGCTCCCGCACAGAAATAAACCATTTACAAGCACCCATGGCCTTGTATTTAGGGCCAAGGTTAATGGTGGGGGGAAGACCTGGGTGCAGAGGAAAAGACTGTTGGATCTGAAGTTGGAAGGAGGAAATTTTGGCTTAAATGACCCATGCCAGGCTTAAAATGCAGGGATTGTGTTGTGCCAGGCTTAAAATCAGCAGGGATTGTGTTGTGCCAGGTTTTGGGGGAGCAGGGACTAGGGTAGGTGAAGATATTGCCCACAGCCTCTTGCTCAGCATCCCCCCATCCATGAGGCCACTCTGGCCCTGCTGGGGCACCCTGGGATTTTGTGGGTGACCTCAAGAGATCCAGTTACCCACATCCATATGAAGGTGAGCCACCAAAACCATGGCTTCAGCTGGGATTTGCAGCACCTTCAGCCAGCAACTGCACTCTCACCTCTCTGCCTTGCTCTGCCAGAGCAGGGCTTGTAGACTCAGAAGTAAAACTCCACTGGAGGATGAGAATTTTGGGTGTGGAACAGAAATCAGACCCAGCGTTTGTGTGCAGCCTTCAACCTACAGCAATAACCACCGCACCCTACAGACTCCATTTGGGTAATCTCATGGGAACAGAGATTTGAAGGCAAACTGGTTTCTCACCCCAAACCCAAGCCCTACCACACCCAGGCTGTGCTCTGGTGGTGTCACTGCCACAGTTCCTCTTCCACCCCTTCAGCCCAACCCATCCCCAGCTCCCCCGTGTGCTGCGCTCGCAGCAGGCTGCCGTGGGACTGGCTCAGCACCACCACCCCAGGGACACCTGCAGGCTCTGCAGAGGAGTCACAAAAGGACAAATCCAGGTCGTGGATGTTGCTGGTGCAGGATGAGGTTGGTTATTTATATATTTATACCCACCAGGTATGTTATTTACTTATTTATATCTAGGGCAGAAGGTCAGACTCGCCCCTAGTGCACTGGTGTGTGTGCTGGGGATCTTGGCTTGGCTGTGCTGTGCAGAGGGGAAGCCAGGACAGATGAAGGAGTTAAATATGGAAACCAGAGCCAGAAATACAGCAGTAACAGGACAAAATTCTTTGGAGACAAATTGTTCTAAACTAACTCAGGCTGTGATTCTGTTATCTGCTCTGCAAGAAAGAGCAGGGATATCTCTTTTTTCTCTTCCCCCTCCTCCTTCTTGAGCTAGGAAGCTTAAAAGAAGAGCCCAAAGCCCACTGCAAGGCTCTTCAGGACTGTGTGTCCTTGAACCATTAGCTTGTAGGTACAATTTAACTGCCACATCACTCATCTTGGCCCTGATTAGACCCAGATGAACACTTTCAATATTAATAGTCAGATGATTTAATAAAGCTGCACAAGCAGTAAAAGTAACAATACACTTCCATAAACGGGTTCCAGATGTTGCCAAGGCAAATGCTAAACATCAAACCTCAAACTTCAAAAAAAAAAAAAAAAAGTTAGGGAAAAAAAAAAAGAGCTGGATAAGCAAAACTTGGAACAAACTATAAACTAATTAAATGTGGGTTGAGTTTTCCAAAAATAAATTGAAGCCATAAGGATGTGATGTGAGCCAATAAATAGTACAGTTAGTCAAAGTTATTGTGGAAGGACAGTTGGAAAGATGGTTTGAAGTCACTGATAGGTGGGCTCACAGCAAGCTTGGCTTCCCATCAATAGGAAGGCTTGTTCTCCTGTGCACGAGAGCAGGATCAAATCTTCTGGTATCTATAACTGGGACACCAGAGAGGTTACTGAGAGAATATAAGATGATTTTCAAGTCAGGGAATAATGTAAAAACGATGCCCGAAGTGCCTGTGTCTCTCCTGCAATAGCAGCAGGGGTGATACACCACCCAAGGACACCGGGATATTTTTTCCTGCATGTTGGGGCAGCCTTCCAGCCTCTCATTGCCCACAGGGCATCCACAACCTCTGCTTGGCCACCTGCAAAGCCCGTGGAAACACCACTGCTGTAGTCATAAACCCACCCTCTTCCCCACACAGGAGTCATTGAAAACAGCTCTCCGAGAGAATTCCACCCCAGTCCCATCGCTGCTGTCACAGAAGCAGCCACCCACAGCAGATGAGCTTTCTGCCAGCAGGGACTGCACCTGTAAGAACATGGAGGGGGATTTTGTGAGGCCATCTCTAGCACTGCAGCCCCAGAGAGCAGGTGGGTCACCCAGCACCTCACTCTGGCTCCAGTTTTCCCCACACTGTGGTCCCCAAGGAGGAGGAACCACTAAGGAGCAAGCTGGGGGTGCTTGGGGGTGCAGGCACAGCACGTTTGCTACAGGCAAGGAGAAAGCTCCTCATAGCCCAAGCAAGGGCAGGAAATGCATTTTCACTGAGGGGCAGAACGAACACTTTCAGTTCTCAAGTATTCTCCCTGGCATGGTGCTTTGGGACAGCTAAACACCAAGATGGGCTTAAGGGAATGTGTTTGGAGTGAGATGCTAGGGCACTTATCCCTGTTCCCAGCTCTTCCCTTCCCAAGGGGGAAGGAGACCAAGGCTTTTGTTATACAGGGCGTCCATTATAGGACCTTCAGATCATGTTCTGTCTTGTCCTTACATTGTTTGTATTTCTCAAGGACAAAGAAAATTTATTAATTTTTAGTTGGTAAATGTTCTACAGTGAAGCCTATCCCCTCTTTTCTGCATGTCTCCAAGCACCCCAGGATGGGGCTGACACTCTTTCAGCAGTCACAGAGGGCTGCCCAGCTTGCTGTTAGTGTAAGTGGCTCTGGGGGCCCCTGCATCATCTTTTCCATGCAATTCAGTCAACCTGTAATCCCCAGGCTTTGCACTGGGAGAGACTAAGGCTAGGGAGATTAGTTGAGATGCTCTTTGCTTTCTCTAATGAGCAGTGCACTCAAACACAGGACTGGGGAGCAGCTCTAACTCAACCCTGCAGCCCTGTTCTTCCTGGCAGCCCCCAGACAGGTTCCCTGATGGAAACACAACCTGCGCTGGGACCGGCTTTCCCACCTGGGTGAGCCTGGGCTCCGCGGTGAGTCCTGCGCCTGCCGCCAAGTTCAGGATTAGGCTTTGCTTTGGGCTTTTATCCACGGTTAACGACACAAGTATGCAATAACAGAGCCTCTCATAAAATTATTATGAGAACAAACAAATTCTTTCCCTTTTATATGCAGTACTTTGTTTTTAAGATTAATCCAACATCAGAGCTGATGGGCTCTGCTCTCTCGCTGACCCATGTGAGAGCACCAGGTGCTCCCCATCACCAGGTTACTCCTGAGCTGCCTCCTCCATCATGCAACAACCAGTGCCACAGATGGGCATCGGGGTAATTCCTGTGCCCTGATTTCCAGGAGATTCTGTGCAGGGTCAGAAGTTCCCATGGAAGTTGTTCAGCATGACCTGTGTAACAGTGATCCCAGATTTCTTGCAGATTTCTTGCAGTCTTGCCTGGTCTTGTTGCAGCATCCTGCTGTGCTGCAGAATCTCCCCAGAACCAGACCTCAAAGTGTTGTACTTCTATTTTGGATGCAGCTTGGTTTCCTCCAGCACACTCCTGTTCTCCAGTGGTGGGGTCTGCTGCTCTTCTCCATCCCTGTGTTTTACACTGTATCTTTATCTTTGTAGGAGAGGAAAATCAAATG